CTTTCCCTCTGTCACTCTGATTAGAAAGTGATCCTGTGTCTCAGGTACTTACAGCAAGGGCCCACTGTCCCCTCTAACAGGCATTTGGAATGTGTGAGGTGTTTCAGGTGTTTCAAAGACCTGGAAGTGCTACAGCATTCAGTGGTGGGGCTGGGAATGGGAACTTCCCCTGTGGAGGGGCAGTCTGATGCTGTGAAAACTTTCATCCCCAGATAATGTCCTCCGCAAAAGTCTTCCCACCTTTTCAGGATCTCCTAAGAAAGTAACAAGGACTCCAAGGTGTGCGAAGCCTGTGCAGATTATGAATCCTAACAGTTAAAGGCAGTTTTGGGGATATATCAGCGTGTATGAATTTTACTGGACCAACGATGCATTGATGGGCAGGCTCTTATTATTAGGTATTTAAAGAAGGGAATATAGCACTAGCCCATTTCCAGAAGCCTTTTGGTCAACATTCCTTATTGCCCTAAATTGATATTTGTAGTTGCTGTTCTGCCTGATTTATTTTAGGTCTTAAGATCACAAATTTATGCAAAGAACCGAAAGTATGCTCCAGGGAGCTCCTTTGTCCTCCCTGGGGACAAAATTGATTGAGTGCCTCCCTCAATCACTCTTAGTTTTGTTTGTGCAGACATGAAGAAATTCGCAATTAAGTCATTCCCTCGACGGTTCCCTCACTGACAGGACCCTGAGTACAGAAAAAGGAAGAGCAGCAGACAGCAAGAGCCAAAAGGAGAAACTAGGTTAGCCACAAGGGCAGGGAAGGACAGCAACAGCGGTCTCACAATGGGGCTACCGATCTCGTGAGTTAGCCAGTAAGTACTGTACAGAACCCACGTTTCTCTCTTCCTGTGCTTTCTAAAGGAAACGCAAGCCACCAGCTCATTTTGGGGAGAGTACAGACCTTTTCCTTGACAAGAATGGCTGAGCACTGCAACAGCACGCCCATCATCTTGTGAGGGTTCCAGGTGACTGAGTTGGCCCTGAAAGAAGCACATGACATTCTGAGCAGAAGGGACAGGAGTCACAAAGAGGCAACTGTCCTTTTGAAGAAAGCATCACCCCTCTCAGCTCAAGTCAGTAAACGTTTTTGATGCCTGTTCTCCTAAATTAACTAATCAAGTAGTAAAGGAATCTTTTGTAGGCAGCCTCGGGATGTTACATTACATTTTCTAAATAACTGCTATTAATAAGAGCCAACACTAATGAAGAGCTCATTATGAACCCTATTGTTCTGGGAGCTTCCCAGGATTTTATCAGTATGGTATCATGGTTGAGAACTCAGGCTTTGGAGCCAAACTGTCCAAATCGGAATTCTGGCTTGGACATTTGCTGGCATGGGCAGATTCCATAACTCCTCTGCATCTCTGTTTTCCCATGTGGAAATGGGGAGGGTCTCTCCCATAGAACTGAATAAAGGACAGAGTGAGTTCATGAATATTGAGTCGTCAGAAAAGTCATGATGCATTTTTGCATAGAAAACATAGAAAAAAATAGGTCATAATTTTCCTGATGACCCAATATAAAATGCTTCTTTTTATGTTTCTGGTTTTTTTTTTCTTTTTTTTTTTTTTTGTTTGTTTTGTTTTTTGAGAGATATTTTGCTATAGGGTGCATGTGCTTGCCAGAGAGACAGAAAGTGAGAAATCACCCTCCTGGAGGGTGCGGGGGGTGGTGGTGGTGGTGGTCATGCCAAAATCCTTTTACTTCCATTCTCCTCTCGGGATTTTGGGCACAAATGCACATGTGCCTAATGTGAGTTTCAAGCTGCCAGGCCTGGGACTTGAACCATGGTCAACCATGTGGGAGTCCAGTGCCTTAACCCCTATGCAACCTGCTGGCCCCTAAAATGCTTCTAATAGTGCCTGGTATACATAATTCTCACAACAATCATATGAGGTCAGTACTAATATTATTTTTCTTTTAGAGCAAAAAAACAATGCACAAAAAGGTTAAGTACATGAACCAAAGTTGCACAGTTGGGGATTATTGGAGCAGAGTTGAGTGTGGGGAGTCCAACCACAGAGTCAGTGCTCATAATTACTCCACCAAGCTGCCACGCTTTAGGCACCAGACTTTGGCCTCTTTCTGCCTTCCTGTTCTGGTTTATAAGATGGGCTGTTGGAGGCTAGGAGGTGGAGTGGTGGCTAAGGCGCTGGACTCCCACATGGCTGACGGTGGATGAAGTCCCAGACTTGGTGGCTTGAAAGTCACACTGGATGCATGTGTGTGCATGCTCCAAATCCTGAGAGAATGGAGGAGAAGGGACAGTAGCATGGCCATTCATACTCGAAGGGTGTTTTCTCACTTTCTCTCTCCCTGTCTCTTCCCAGTGAGCACACATGCCCTAGGACCAAAAAAAAAAAAAAAAAAAAAAGAGCTGCTGATGTTGACCTTGATGGGGAATATGAAGAGTGACACCTATAGCACGGATCACCTGGACTATTCTAGCCTTTGACTATCTGGCAGCATTGTTTAAACAGGTGTGATTTCGCCAGTCTGGGCTGCAACCAGTGCTTAGCAAGTGTGGTATCCTAGCAACAGTACCACTCTGTCAGACATAATTAGATGGTAAGGAGCCCACTAGCGAGGGTGTTACGGAAACAACGGAGTGAAATGGATGATGATTAAAACTTGGGTAACTTGCTTCGGTGCTTTACAGACTCCTTCCCAATGGCCTGGCCCACAGCTGGGCTCTGCGTTTTAATACCAGTGAAGATGTTTTCCCCTGACACGGCGATTGCCTTGGAATGATACTGCCTCTGCTCTCCCTAGAGCTACATCCCGACTGTGAATTTTTAACCCGTTCATCTTGCTTAGGTCTTCAGGAAGGTAGGTAACTTAGTGCGTATGTATGTTGTGTTTCAAGAAAACAGGAAGGCTTGGGAACCAGCAGTTGGTGTTGGTGTAATGGCTATGTCGCTGGACTCCCACGTAGTCAACCACGGTTCGAGTCCTGGACCCGATGGCTTAGAACTCACGCCGGGTGCGTGTGTGTGCGTGCCCAAGATCCCGAGAGGAGAACAGAGGAGAAGGGATTGCGGCGTGACCATCCCCCCTGGGGGGTGATTTCTTGCTTTCTGTCTCTATGTCTCTCTCTGTCTGTCTGCCGAGCACACGCATCCTATAGTGAAAAATCTCTCAAAAAAAAAAGAAGACAGGAAGGCCCGTAGTGCCTTTTCTTTAAATGCATGATAAAGAAAACCTTTGTGAAAGAGTCCCGTGAGAAGTTCCAAGGAAAGTGAACTAAGTGCTTATATCACTAAAAAGCATCTGTGTCAGGCCAGCAGGTAGCGTGGAGGTGAAGGCACTGGATCCCACATGGCAGGCTGAATGGTTTGAGTCCCAGCTCTGGAGGATTTAAAATCACCGCAAGGTGCGTGTACAGGTGTGCCCAAAGTCCTGAGAGGAGGCTGGAGGAGAAGGAATTGTGTTGTGGCATGAGCTCCACTCTGAGGGTGATTTCTCACTCTTCCTCTCTCTCCTTCTCTGTCAAGTGTATGTATCCTAGCAAAAACTTAAAAAGAAAAAAAAAGGCATCTGTGTCAAGCCATATTTAAAAGGTAGGGAATTTAATATTCTCATTGCTATCATTTACCAAGTCATTAAAAAAATTATATTTAGATCTCATAAGGTCTTAAATGGTTTTCTGAATGTCCTAGAGGCCTGAAGCAAATGATTCTTCACTGCTACAAATGGGAAGTAACGATATGAATTCAATTTCTTTTATAAGACATATGTACCTTTATAATGTCAGAAAAGATCTAGTGCAAAATGTTTCAAGTTTTCCTAGCCTCAAAGATGGAGACAAAATTGCCTGGGAAATCTACAGTAAATGTGGGCAGGCTCATCAACACTAAATATATTATCCTCTAAGTTATAGGATCATAGAACTACGCTTCACAGAGCTAGCCTCACCTCCCGGCACTGACCTGTCAAATAGACAGGAGAGTAATGGAATCCCGAGTCCTTGCTACAGAGAAGTCGCTGTTGTGCTTTCCTTATGCTCTCCAACCTCCTCTCCCCTCTCAGTCTGCTCTTAACGCTCCCATGTGGTCCCAGCCCCCACAGGCCTCTCTGATGGGCCTCCAACTTGCCAAGAGCAGTCCTGCCTCAGGGCCTTTGCACATGCTGTTCCTGCTGCCTGGACTGTTCTTGCCCATATCCTTGCTTCCTACCTCCCTGAGCCCAGTATCTACTAAATGCCACCTCCTTGGACGGCCCGACAACCGTGCCTACCATCACACGCCTTGCCACTCACTGTTCCCTAACTCTGATTGTTTATTTGTTTATGAACATCTAGCCCCCTGAGTTGCAAATTTCAGGAGGGCAAATCTCTTAAATGCTGACATCTTCCACATACTGTCTTATTTTCCCTGTGTGTCAGCTATGCACTTTTAAGAAAAGTGCCACAGATGGCTGGCTGGAAGGCGGGGAGCAGAACATTCACATCCACTGTCGCTCATGGTAGGGGCTCAGTGAATATTTGCTGAGTGAATACGTGAATCGATGAGAGTTCATTATGGATTGATACTTAGGAATGAGGTCAAAATCGCACAAGGCTTAGAACATCCACCAAACTTAGTGGAAAAGAAAATACATCAGTTAGGTGAGCTGAGTGTCCGGTCGCTTTCTCAGCAGTGAGCTGCATGAGGAAGAGGCGTGAAATGAATCAGTGGGCCTTCCTGAGCCCGTGATAAACTGAATCAGCCTCCAATCCCTGTGCTGCTCAGCCTCTCTTCTCCTTCCTGGGCACCTGCACTTTCATCTATGGTCACTCTTATCACATCGCAGCACAACTGCTCGCTTACTTACTTGACTTTCTCCCTCCCTGTGAACTCACTGAGGATTCATTTGACCCGGAACTTATACAGTAAATGCTCAGTAAATGCAAGTGAGACTGGTAAGACCCGGGAGTCAGGGCGGGGGAGGCGTGGACGTGGAGCACAGTACACGCGACGTTCTGGCTGCAAGGAGGCCTAGCCAGCTTGGCCGTACCTTTCTATGCCACTGAGTTTATGGCGGTGCTTCCGGGACATGAGCAGCCCGCCACCCCAGGCAGCCTGTGAGGACAGAGAAAGGGGAGAGAGGGAAGCGGTGACATTTCAGACTCCAAAACCACTCACTTATACCTCTAGTAAAACAGGAAAGAGAATGCTAAAGGTGAAAACCTCAAGTTTCTCTGACAAAATGAGCCCAGGCCGATTGTTCTGTCCTGGCAGCTGTGACTATTCACCTTTTGTCATTTCTTTTTCAAAAGTTCCTCCAGGTAAATGTCAGAGCAGCTGTCCAAGTGACAGAGTGTGAGCGTGGCCAGGTCTCAGCCTGGGGTACCTGTGATGGCAGGACCCAAAGGCACAGCCTGTTGTGAAAAGCCAGAAGCACACCCAGCATGGCCCTAGAAGCTTCTCGAAGGACTGGGGCCTGTCTGACCCTTCCTAGAGCGGAATTCTAACAGCTCCTGAAAACTCGGCAGCAGCTCCTGGCTGGCGTGGAGGTCCCCAACAGCTCCTGCCAATAGCACGACATTTCGGTGGGCGCCGTCATGTACGTCTACAAAATAGCTGGGGATGCCATGTGACACAGCAACAACCCGTGTTCACATTTGTTCAATAGCAGGGCCGACGACTCCACTGTCCAGTAGTGAAAAGGTAAACCCACAAGAAAATGGATGGAAGGAAAAAACACACGCAGGCGGACAGGTGAAAATGCACCTTTTGTGTTCCCGAGAAAACTCAGGACTAAGTCTTGTAGCCGGTAGCGCCCTCTGTACACGCCTGACTTTTCCTACATGTAGCAGACATGCATGTTCTTAGAAAAGTGTCAAGGCTACACTGAAGGCGGGAGCTGAGTGTTCACCTTCATGACCATAATCTTACATATTTTATGTATCTTCTCCCCTCTGAAGTCAGTTACTTTATGTGGTAGCCATTTGTCCAAACAAAGCTGCTTGGGAAGCGATAGAGACCGTACTTTAGGAGGATGACCCACAGGAGACGGCAATTGGCAGTTAGAAACTGGGTGGGTCCTACAGCGTGCACCGGCCTTGGGCTATCTACCAGTCACGGAGGGCTGGCTGAGGGCCAGAGAAGGCTGGGACTGATGTGTGGACAGAGGGCTGGCCGGGGCTCTGGGAAAAGCTTGAGGCAAAACATAAAGCAGAGCTGCTTCTACGCACGGAGGGACTGGGTGCTCTGTGAGTTACAGCACTTACATCGACATGTAGCCAAAGGTTATGCTTCTCACATATATCTGCAATCTCCTGTATCGGATCAAAAGCTCCATAAACAGTTGTGCCCGCGGTGGCATTGACATAAAGAGGAACATATCCCTAGGAGGTAAGAGAGAGAGGCTGGTTAGTCTTTTCATCCTGTGGCCTTTGCTCGTGCCCACATGAAGTAAGAGAACTGCAGTAGGCAGCAACTGCATCTGGCAGTATCCCTGGTTCATTTGCTCATTCATTCATTTATGCACTAAGTATTTTCGAGTGGCCTTCCTGTGCCAGGCCCTGTGGCAGGTGCAGGGATACAGCAGTGAGTACAGCAGAAGAACTTTGTCATCGTGAAGTTTACATTCTAGCAAGGGAGAGACCAAATTGTACACTTGCTCATAGTGACAAGTTCAATGGCAAAAGACGAAGCAGGGAAGAGTAATAGTGTTTTAAGTGGTGGACAGACAGCTCTGACTATGACTGGGCATCATTTTTTATTGATTTAATTATACTGGAGCATTGTTTACTTATTTAAAACATTGTTGATTTATTTAAATAGGCCTGTTTACTATGTAAACTGAAATACTTAGTAATAGTGGGCATGGTGAAATTTTGACATGAACAAGAAATGAAGGGACCAGGAGTTGGAGTAATGGCTATGTCGCTGGATTCCCACATAGTCGACCGTGGCTCGAGTCCTGGACCCGGCAGCTTAAACTCACACTGGGCGCAAGTGCGTGCAAGCCCAAGATCCAAGAGAATGGAGGAGAAGGGATTGCAGCATGGCCATCCCCTGGGGGGTGATTTCTCACTTTCTGTCTCTCTGTCTTTCTGGCGAGTGCACATGCCCTGTAGCAAAAACCTCTCCCCACTCCACCCCTCCAGAAAAAGAAACAAATAAAAGAGGAAGTGCAGTAATACAGCTAAGACTAAGTTTGGGAAATCTGTGAGTCTTAGGTGTTTTTGAAGCTCAGCTACACCTCTGCTCTGGCTGAGCCCTAACATTTATATCCATCTCTTCTGCTGAGACTCCAGCAAACCATTACAGTCAGAGAAGGAGGTACAACGATACACCCAAAACAAGCGTGTTGGTAAGTGGCCTGACAGCTACCTGGCAGTGACTTGTAGAGACATCTGTTCTATGAGATTTTTTTTGTTTAATAGTTTGTTGAGACTGGATTCACCAAGTACCATGGGCCATTTGCCCAGGCATGGAAGCACTTTGCTAAACAGAATCCTAAGCTAAAATGTTATTTGTTAAAAGGTAATTATGCTTACTAAGTAGCAACTGAAAAGCTCAATTAGGCTGTATCTTCATGATGCTTAGGTAGTTTGGCTTATTGAGGAACATGCACTACTGGGCACAATGAAAATAGATGGCCATCCCCTGGGGGGTGATTTCTCACTTTCTGTCTCTCTGTCTTTCTGGCGAGTGCACATGCCCTGTAGCAAAAACCTCTCCCCACTCCACCCCTCCAGAAAAAGAAACAAATAAAAGAGGAAGTGCAGTAATACAGCTAAGACTAAGTTTGGGAAATCTGTGAGTCTTAGGTGTTTTTGAAGCTCAGCTACACCTCTGCTCTGGCTGAGCCCTAACATTTATATCCATCTCTTCTGCTGAGACTCCAGCAAACCATTACAGTCAGAGAAGGAGGTACAACGATACACCCAAAACAAGCGTGTTGGTAAGTGGCCTGACAGCTACCTGGCAGTGACTTGTAGAGACATCTGTTCTATGAGATTTTTTTTGTTTAATAGTTTGTTGAGACTGGATTCACCAAGTACCATGGGCCATTTGCCCAGGCATGGAAGCACTTTGCTAAACAGAATCCTAAGCTAAAATGTTATTTGTTAAAAGGTAATTATGCTTACTAAGTAGCAACTGAAAAGCTCAATTAGGCTGTATCTTCATGATGCTTAGGTAGTTTGGCTTATTGAGGAACATGCACTACTGGGCACAATGAAAATAGGTCAAGTGATTTACTAACCAAATTTTTTTTAGAATTATTTATTTAATTTTTTTATTATTTATTTTTCAATTTGACCAGAGAGAGACACACACACAGAGAAAGGGAAAGTGAGAAAACAAGCCACCAGGTGCAGGACTTGGATTGTGGTTGATCAGGTAGGAGTCCAACGCCTTAATCACCACACCACCTGCCAGCCCCAATTTAATAACTAAATTGTTTTTTGAGAGTTTTTTTTCTCTTTTTTTTTTTTTTTTTTTCTGCTATAGGGCACATGCGCTCGCCAGAAAGACAGAGAGAGACAGAGAGACAGAAAGCGAGAAATCACCCCCCAGGGGGGATGGCCATGCCACAATCCCTTCTCCTCCATTCTCCTCTCAGGATCTTGGGCACACACGCACACGCGCCCAGTGTGAATTTAAGCCACCAGGTCTGGGACTCGAACCACAGTCGACTATGTGGGAGTCTAGCAACATAGCCATTACGCTAACTGCTGGTCCCTAAATTTTTAAAATTGATATTGTATAGACACAGTTTGAAAGCTAAATAATTTTATAAGTTTTAAATAAGTACATATCTAAGAAAGAAATTTTGGAATAATAAAATTATCTCATATTATCAGAGACCTTTATTATCTAAGGCAGAAAGACATTTAAAAAAATTATTTAACTTTATTTAGTCATTTATTCTAATTTGACCAGAGAGGGACAGAGTGAGAGAGAGAGAGAAAGTGAGAAAGCAAGCTGCCAGGTTTGGGACTCGAACCATGGTCAGCCATGTGGGAGTCCAGGGCCCTTAACCACCACACCACCTGCTGGCCCTGAAAGAAGACATTTTAAAAAATTTATATTCACTAGAGTTTAGATACTCCATAGAGTGCATACCTTTTGCTTGGCTTCAAGAATTTTTGTCTCTAAATCAGCTGGAATTATCTTCCCTCTGTAATTATTGTAAAAAAAAGAAAGAAAGAAATTAAAATGAAGAATAAATGAGATTTCACATGAAAAAAACTTTAGCAGCTGCAAAAAGTAATTTAATCGGATATTTTCAACAGACCATTAGCAGCTTGGCACACTGTATTGAGCCAGTCCTTAAGCACAATAAAACAAATTTAACAGATGAACACATTTAATACATCAAGAACCTAATATTCACTTTTCCCTGCCTACCTTTCATTGCACTTTATCAAAATCACATTGTCGGTTCCAAAGCCAAGTGCAGCCCCAGCTTTCTTTATGGAATAGTGACTCTGCAACAAATAGAGGCTTGAGGTTAGAAGTTAGTCTGTTGGGAATAAAACCACCATCCATAAGCAAGAGCCCCGAACTCACGTGTTCAGAGGTGAAGAGCACCAGTTTGGGCACAGCTGCCATGCCCTTGGTCTTAACTTCCGGGAAGTACTTGTAGCGAGCAGCCATGATGCTGTACATGTTGGATATGGCTCCCCCTATCAGCAAACAGACAAATGGCAAGTGTTGGGGCTCTTGCATCATTGATTCTAACAGCAAAGACTGAGCTGGTATCTCAAGAGACAAGGGAAATCGGGATGGGAGAGGATAATATGATAGATTTTCCTAGCTTCCCTATTCCAGGGGCTGTTTCCTAGACCCTTTACCCTGGGAATACAAGTAGTCACTCAATACCAAAGCTATCTAGGCAGTTTGGTTAAAGGTGGTTCACATAATCCAGTGCCCTTTCCTCCTGAAACCTAGTCAGAAATACAAGAGAAGCAGTAGCTGCAAAAGAGACGAGTGAGTTACAACCTCCTTGCTTCCATTTTCTGCTCAATCTACTTGCTGAAGAAAGATTAAACTGTTCTCTGAGTTCAGAAAGACAGAGAAACAGAGAGTAATGGAGCCTCCAGAAGGAAACAATGGCATTGCTTGGTAACCTGCCTAGGTATTCTTTTTAAAGAACAACCCACCTGAGTTACTGAGTCGTTCAGGAGAGCTCTACACTTGTTAAAACAAAAATAAACTCATGCTCACCTAAATAAAGACACTAGGAGAATGGCAGTAACTATCTAGGTGTGTCTGGTCAATAAAAACTGGTCACTTTGCATCAATTACCTGACAATTAAATAGGAAAACTTGTGATCTGCTTGAATTGCCTGGACAATTGTAATTCTTATTTCTTCTTTTCCCCTTGTACATAATCACAGGGTCTCTGCCCATCTATAATTCCTCCCTACATCTGAGAAAGTCTGTTATTGTTTTATTGTTGTAATGAGTCTTACTGTATTTACCTCAAACTAGAGTTTCAAGGCAGATCTAGTTGTCCCTAAATTTGCAAGGGGTTGGTTCCAAGACCTCCTGTAGATACCAAAGTTGCATGGATGCTCAAACCCCTTATGTACAATGGCATAGTATTTGCATATAATCTATACACATCCTCACCCATATATTAGATCATCTCTAGATTATTTATAATACCTACTACAAATTAAGTGTTATATCAATAGTTACACTGTATTTTTTAATTTGTATTTTGTATTATTGCACATGTTATTTTCTCCTTTTAAAAAATATTTAATTTTATTATTATTATTTTTGAAAAATTTCCTGTAGGGTTATGTGTTCACTAGGGAGAGACAAAGAGAGAAAGAAAGCAAGCCGACAGATCCAGGGCTCGAACCACAGTCCAGTGCCTTAACCAACATACTATCTGCTGACCCCCTCTCACACCCCCTTTAAAAAAATATTTTCCATCTTCAGTTGGTTAAATCTATGGATGTTGAATCCACAGGTGCCAAATCCACAGATATGGAATCTATGAAAAAAGAGGGTTGACTTGTGTACTCTTTTGAATGAAATCAGTCAGCTTGATTCACTGGTCCCCAGCTTAGTCACACTGCTGTTGACAGAAAGGGCTGCTCTGCATGATCTAGACACAGCCTCTGTCAGTTTGTACAGATTTAGGCACAGCCTTTGTTAGCTTGAACACACAGAATAGAACATTCTTGCTGGTCTTTATCCTGACAAGGAGGAAGGCAAAGTATTCAAAAACATTTTTTAAGGTCATTCATCTTCCACAAGTCCACTGTGTATTTAGTGTTTCCAAGGATCCATACTGCAAACCTTGAGAATAGGTGGAGATAAATAAAACCAGAAACCTACCAGGAGAAAATATCCCATCACCATCTTTACTTGACCATCCCACTATCTCTCTCATCTTCTTAAGTGTTATTTGCTCCATGAGAACAAACACCGGTGCAATTTCATACGTAAACCTGGAAAAGTGGTGAAGAAAAGGATGAAAATAAAGAAGTCAAACCACTTTTTGGGGGGAACACAGATGATTAGTTTTTGTACTTGGGTTCTAAAAAAGATATTCAAAACCACTAACACAGTTCATTTTATGGAGAAATGCATGGAGTCACCAATCAAAATGTGAGAAAGCGGCCCGGGTTACCAAGAGAGGTGCCGTACGTGCCTGCTCTGTGCTCTGTGATACCTCACCACAAAACAGACTCTCATCTGAATGGAGTGTCCTAGGTGCGGCCTACTCGGGGGAATAGAAGGAAAGAAAGTGACGTTTCTGGGTCTCTTTTACCTCTAAGATCATAGTACAATGCAAATTTTAGTTGGGAAAAAAAATGTATTCTAAATTCTACAAAAAAAAAAAAATTGGGTTTACAACATTCAAAAAAAGCCTGACTGCCAGCTTTACACTTGTAGAATCTATGAAAGCTGGAGCCAAAAATCTATCTTTTAAAAATAATGTAAACATCTGAAAGCTAACTGTGAAGATAATTGGAAATATTGACCCAGGTTTTAAAGATCTCAATATAATTATCTTCATGGTTTTTCTACTGATAATACCCAAGGACAGCTATGTTTCTATAATTCTCTGAAGTCGATATCTGTCAAGAATAGTTCTAAGTGATGATTTTCTAATTGCAAATTATAAATAACAAGAAGATAGTCACCTGGCATACATAGTTAACTGTGGGCATCAGATATCCTGGCAGGTCACATTTGTCTTCTAACAAACTGACTTAAAAGTAGCAAGTCATACGCTTTCAAAGCCTTTCAAAGCAGAGGCAGTCTGGCAGCCTAGTCATTGAAACAGGATCATGATACTAATATAGGGCTTATAAGAAATCAAGGAAGGTCTAGCCACAGAAAATTAAGCCAGAAAACAAAAAGATATTTACTCAGCTCCAAAAATGTTTAAAGTTTGCTTAGAGTTTTTAAGCATTAGAGTCTGTGGGCGGAGCTCAGATCAAGCTTGCCAAACAGAGATGCCTAGACGGACTCCGCCACCACGTGATATGGGGAGGCTTGCTCATTGGTTAGGGTGTTTGGGCTAAATACCAGTGTTGAGGACTAATGGGAATTCTTGCTTAATGATTTAGAAAAGCTATTTTCTAGGATGAGATAGCTACTGTTGTAGGTAAGACACAGGTGAAGCCACTAAGTTTTAAATCATGGAGGGAAAAAGCAATCACATTAATCACATGGTGATAGAAGAGGACACAAAGATCCTGGAGAATCATCAGGCTATGTCTGTTGGTAGAAGAATTTTGTTTCCAAAAAGATTGTGTCTATTTTCCTTGGGAGTTCCCTGGAAATTTAAGAGACCCTTGGAAACCATGTGTTCAGTTACCATCACCTCTGGAGGTCACAATCATGCTTTGGTTCTGCTCTGAGCCCCATCACCGTAGCAACCAACACTCCCTCATGTCTGATGGCCTGATAAAGGAAGAAGAAGAGAAGGATTCCCAGTTTAGCCTGTGCTGCTGAGAGGACCAAGAGGCAAACTCATGAATGTGCTTCTGACCATTCTTGAACAAATGCATTATCAATGGTTCCAGTGCTTTTTGGAAACACTGGAATAGCAAAAATGTTTGCCTGGTGAAGAGGTAGTGGTGGCAGTGTGTGTGCGAGAGTTCCACAATACCAAAAGAGAAGGCTCTCTGGGGTAAGGCAGGGACAAGCAGAATCAGACACCATAATATCAGAACTGTTTCAAGGACTGGGTGAAAGTTGAGTTGGAGTCAAGTTGGTATTAGATGACCAGGCAAAATTCACATGGAGGAGGGAGAAGTGATGGTCCAAAGCTGTGCTTCATGATTCAAATCAACTCAGTCTTCCTACCTAAGGATCAGAAGCATGACTATTACTCTCAGGATTAGGAAGAAGAGTCTAGAAAGTTTGATCATGAGACTATCTGAGACTATCACCTATTTCAGGGTCCATATGTATGACAGGTACCCAAATTCCTAAACCTTTCTCTCAGTGCTATTCAACAAATACTGAGAGACTCCTCTGCCAGGTGACATTCTACATACTGAGGAGACAACAATATTATAAGGCATGATTCCCAACTTTGAGGAGGAAGCATGATGGGATTAATCTGGCATGTAAATCTCAGCTTTGGCTGCACCCTGTTTAGCAATCCCTGCCTGTTTCAAACCCTGTTATCTCACTGCTGACATCAAGCTTATACTGAGCTCAGTCCTGATATCTCCTACAAGCTACGGATCCTTGGTCAGATGTGACAATTGGTCTAACATGGTGTTCCCTGTTTCTGACACTGCCTCTAACCCTGTCTTCCCAGACTGGATCATACTTATCGTCCAGGGGAGGGAGAATCTACCTGTACCCAAAGTTTTAGAGAAGGCCTTGAAGTTCACCCTAAAGTGGCCATTCTGAAGTTGACTGTAGTTACAGAGCCCTCTAGGAAAAGCTATGGTCCTTCTCTCCATGTAGAAAGGTATATACACCATTTCATATATCATTTTTAGTAATTCTCTTGCAATGTGGGACCCCAGGTTAGGTATCTCTTCCCTAAATGAAAAATGAAAGCAAATGAAGTGAAGAGGCCAAAGGTCAAATATCGATTAATAAGATGCTAATTAAATGTTGAAGTCAGAATACAAGATTATATCTCATAATGGGAGTAGAAACTAAACCTGCAGAAAGCTCTGGATGGAAGTGTCACGACATGGGACTGGACGTAAGGATTTTAAACAGTAAGATGGTGCCGTTCATAAGGTAACACCAAAGGACTGTGCTGAGCATTTCTATATCCTGAGTAGGGAGTGAGTCAGCCCTTTTTCAATGGTTCGATTCACCTTCCCAGTGGGATTCACTTGGAACAAAGGCAAAGTGATTGTCAAGAAGGTATTGATTGTCAGTTTGGGACCAGCAGATGGTATGGTGGTTATGCCACTGGACTCCCATATGGCCGACTACAGTTCGAGTCCTGGCTCAGGTGGCTTGAAAATAATGCTGGGTGTGTGTGCATGCGTGCCCAAGATCCCAGGAGGAGAATAGAAGAAAAGGGATTACAGTGTGGCCATCCCCCCTGAGGGGTGATTTCTTACTTTCCCTCTTACTATATCTCTCTTTCCCTTGGGCAGGCACGTGTGCCCTAACGCAAAAACCTCAAAAAGAAAACAAACAAACAAACAAAAAGCTACAGTTCTCTTGTGGCCAAGTCCACTGGTTGTTAACCATATCAATTTCTCCTTGGAGTGAAGTTGGTATTAGATGACCAGGCAGAGGCCACATGGAGAAGGGAAAAGCAATGGCCCATGCATTAAATGGATGCTTTATTAAATTTTATTTGGATCAAAACTATATTTTCTAGCCTTCTTAGGCATGGCCATGGCATGAAATTCTGGCTAAAGAGGTGCTATGGGTAATGTGTGAGACTTCCGAGAAAGTTTCTCAGGAGGGAGCATGACTCCCTTGATCCTTCCTTCTTCCCTTCCTCCCTCCCTTCCTGCATGCCTTCCCCCCTCCCTCCCTCTCTCATTCCTGAGTTCTGGAACACATGATGGCGAGCGCTCCAGTCGCCAGCCAGCACTGAGTTAATTTTGAGGATGAGAGTCACATGCAACATCAATCACAAAGCTATTAGGAGCCTTGATCTCTGGTGACTGTTAAATTGTAAGCTTCTTTCATGAGGGAAAAAAAAATCTTCTCCTATGTTGACTATTTTAATACTCCTCTTAAACTTCCTCCCTTTACACATGTGGCAGGTAGCCCATGTTCAGTTTAAATGGTAACCCACTTGAGTGGACGTCTGTGGTCCAGAGATGATGAGAGACAGAAACAAAAGAGTAGGGAGGCTGAGGAGTGGGTCTTGAGCAGCAACGGTGACGTGTAGGTTGGTTGCTTTCCCTAGGTGGTAGCTGTACCTTGTACACTCTGGGCGCTTAGGACTGGAGCCTTCTTTAGTTTTCAGAACAGTCTGTAGGATGGATGTTATTGTCCCCCATTTTCCGGATGAAGAGACTGAGGTTCAGAGACATTGGGAAATCGACGATCTCACAGTGAGTATGATTCTTTTCAGAGGGAGAGTTCCAGCTGCATCACAGCTGCTTTGCTATGGCAAACGAGAACTGCTCACTGCAGGATGCTCTCTGCCTCCCTGGCCCGTGTTGTAAAATGACTGCTAACACCTATAGGAAAGTCCTTCATGTCATTGCTATGAAATCATAACCTTAACCATGGGCTGTGATAGATCTTGCTGAAAAGATTAGTTTTGTTGGGGGCAGCAGGTGGTGCGGTGGTTAAGGCACTGGACTCCCACATGGGTGACTGCAGTTTGAGTCCTGGACCTGGCGGCTTGCTTTCTCACTTTCTTTCTCTCTCTCTCTCTCTCTGGTGAGCACATGTTCCCAATAGCGAATTTTAAAATAAATAAATAAATAAAATTTTAGATACTTATAAAAAAGATTAGTATTGTCAACATCAGGTGTTTGAAGGCAGGCTGTTGTCTGTACCTGGTAACCTGTGCAGCTATGCTTGGTGGGCCTGTTTTGGAAAACAACTCTACATGCCATGGGCAACCATACATTTGCAAAGTTTTCTCTGGGTCTTCGCTTGGGAGAATACGTGTATCTCAAAGCTATAGGCACAAGTTGGTGTAAAGTATAGACACACAGATATTCCTTCTGGCCTAACAGACTCCTTGTACTCTGCTGCTTGAATTAGGAGAGTTCTTCTAAAAAGACTTTACTATGGAATATATTGGGTTGTTGGAAAAGTCGTGATGCATTTTTGCCTAGAAAAACATAGAAAAAAATACATCATGACTTTTCCAACAACCTAATATTTATTCTTTTTTTATTACCAGTGCTACCCAAATTTGATGAGAATGCAGGTCAAAGGAAGTGAGTATATCAGTGGTTAAATCCAGCTCTGCCTAAGAGCCTTTGGTCCCTCTTTCCTAGACTTACCCTGAACACTGTTCCCGCCAGCGAGGCATGTCACCGGGGAGCAAATTCTGCCTCAGCTCCTGACGTGCCACCACATTTCATGATATCCCAAGGCAACTGGCTTAGAACAATTTCTAGGTAATAGTTATTACTTCTTCAGACAATGCCTCGTCTCTAGAACTGACAGAAACTATTTCATGATTTTAAATAACCTTCCCTATTGATCTGCTGGAATCGGATCATACTTTATAAATCTCTGCCTTTCAGTACAGCTGCAATTACTGTGTGTCATTTAGTCGGACTGGCCTTGACCTCAGACGGCTGGGACATATTTTAATATTTCAAGGCCGAGCTGAGAGGAAAGGGAAGAGTAAGGTACTTTGATTTTATGAACACATATACAAAAAGAAAAATTTGTGGGGTCTTTCTTGTTGAAGAAAAGCTTTTTAGGAGAATATCGGGCCATAAATGGTTCAAAGGGGTGAATTCCTTTTTATTTACCTTGAAATTGGCTATATATATTAGGAAATTACAGCCGAGAGGCCTACACATACACACTTAAAGATACTGCAGGAGGCGCCAGTGCCACAGCAGAGTGGTAAAGGAGCCAGCTCCCATATGGTCTACTGAAGTTTGAATCCCAGACCTGGTAGCTGATTAATATGCCGGGTACATATGTGTGTGTGTGCACCCCAAATCCCAACCACATGGAGAAATAGACAAGAAAATTGCAGCATGACCATGCCCCATTAGGGGTTGCTTTCTCCCTCCCTCTCTCTGGCGAGCACATGTGTCCTCTGGAGAGCAATATCTTTATTAATGTGGATGCTTGGGCCTTCATGGATGTATATATTTTATTCTGCTTTTCTCACTTATTTTCCAAATAATTGAGTTTAAAAAATTTTGTAAACTTTACTTACTTATTTTTTTAAAGAAAGAATTATTTTATTTAACTTTGTTTATTATTATTATTATTATTTTCCAGTTTGATCAGCCAGAGAGAGAGAGAAAGTGAGAAGGCAAGCCACCAGGTTCAGGACTTGAACCATGGTTGGCCATGTAAGAGTGTCCAGCGCTTTAACCACCATGTCACCTGCTGGTCCCTATTTACTTATTTTTAATTTGACCAGAGAAGGACAGAATAAAAGAGACAGAGAGAAAGTGAGACAGTAAGCCGCCAGGTCTGGGACTTGAACCACAGTCAACCTTGGGAGTCCAGTGTCCTTAACCACCTGCTGGCCCCAAAATCTATTTTTTTTTTTCTATAGAGTATGTGTGCATGCCAGAGGAAGAGGGACAAAGTGAAAAATCACCCTCTGGGGGGCAGCCATGACATAATCCCTTTTCCTCCAGACTCCTCTCAGGATTTGGGGCACGCACGCACACATGCCCATAGTGCGTTTTTCAAGCTGCTGGTTCTGAGACTTGAACTGTGCAACTGATCAAGTGGGATCCAGTGCTTTAACCTCCATATCACTGATGCCCAACAAACTGTATTTTCTAATTTAAATTGTTCCTTAGTGTTAGATGTTATAATTAAGCATTAGTATCTTTTTCAAGATATAATTAGTATATTATAATATTTGTGCTTGCTGATATATTTTTATCTCACAAATATAACACAGTGAAAATTATAATGGGGAGCTTTTTGTTTGTGGAGACCATCCCAGTAATTATATCTTTGTCTTGAATTCCTCACCCTCAGTCCAATGGGGATGCTCCCTGAAGTTAACCATGACTTGTGAGCAGAGAGCATGAAAACCGTTTTTGTTTTTCAATCACTTTAATCTTTTATGCCTTTTAGCATTAAAGGCTTCACTTGTCACATTTGCTTTTTAAAATTTGTCATTGTCGTTTCAAATTAGCAAACAGAGCAGGCACCCTTAATTAGTAGAAACTTTTCTGAATGTAGTTAAGTATTTTGAGTCACAGCATGAAACAGCTTTGGGACACACATGAATCTATGTAATTTAAAAGTGCCCTTCAGGTTTTGGGGCTGCTAGTAGTTTGTTGAAGAAAAATAGGACACTTGAACTTTAATAACTGGCATTCTATCTTGATGTCAACTGGAATTTCTTATTTTAAACAAATACCACCCTTTCACCTAAATTCACTTTTCAAAATTTACTTTACCATGAACATAAAAAATGAGTGGCTGGGCCAGCAGGTGGCACTGGGGTTAAGGTGCTGGATTCTCACATGGCAGACTCTTGTTTGAGTCCTGGACCTGATGGTTTGAAAATGAGGCCAGGCATATGTGTTTGCACACGTGTGTGCTCAAAGTCTCAAAAGGGGAATGGAGGAGAAGGAATTGTGGTGTGGCCATGCCCCTCAGGAGGTGATTTCTCACCTGCCCTCTCCCTCTGTCTGTCTCTTTCTAGTGAACACAAATGCCCTGTACCAAAAACCTAAAAAAAGGGGGAGGGTGGTGATGGTAGCGATTTATTGACTATTTTCTTTTTTAAAAAAATTATTTTATTTAACTTTGTTTATTTATTTATTTTAACTTGACCAGAGAGGAACAGAGTGAGAGAGAGAGCAGGAGAGAGAGAGAGAAAGGGAAAGCAAGGCACGCTGCCAGGTCCGGGACTTGAACCTCAGTCAGCCATGTGGGAGTCCAGTGCCCTTAACCACCACACCAACTGCCAGCCCCGATTTCTTGAATATTTTCGTAACAGCTAACACCCATAGAATTCTTATGTAGTTACTTTAAAATTATTATTTAAAAATTCATTTTATTATTTCCTCCTAGATACTTAATAGAATGTGGTGCCATTGTCTGAATGTATAAACATTGTCATTAGTGTTGAGGCAAAAGACGGTACTCTAAAAGCTATACAACCCTCCACCAACTTTTTATTTTTTTTACATTTTCCAGGGAGTGTATGTGCTTGCCAGAGAAAAAAAGGAGAAGGAGAAAGCACCACCAAATGGGGCATGGTCACACTGCAATCCCTTCTCCGCTATTTTTCCATCTTGTTAGGATTTGGGGGAAGCATTTGCATGTATCGAGCACATTTCTCAGGCCACTGGGCCTGGGACTCACATCATGGTTGCCAGGTGGGATCTGGCTCCCCTAACCACTAGGCCATGGGGCTGACTGCCTTTCTCTCTCTCTTTTTCTTTTTTTGAAGAGGTTTTTGCTATAGGGCGCGTGCGCTCGCCAGATAGACAGAGAGAGACATAGAGACAGAAAGTGAGAAATCACCCCCCAGGGGGGATGGTCACACCGCAATCCCTTCTCCTCCATTCTTCTCTCGGGATCTTGGGCACACAAGCACATGCGCCCGGCGTGAGTTTAAGCCACCGGGTCCGGGACGCGAACCGCGGTCGACTACATGGGAGTCCAGCGACACAACCATTACGCTAACTGCTGGTTCCCTCTCTCTCTTTTTAAATAGGGACAGGGTTTTACCAAATTGCTAAGGCTGGCCTTGAATTCATGATCCTTCTGCCTCATCTTCTAAGGAGCTAGGGTTACAGGGACATGTCACCATGCCCAGCTTCCCTCAACTTTTAATTTGTTCTTGTCTCTAAAGAGGGCATACAGAGGAATCTTTTGGTCAATTATAAGAAGACTACCCAGGTAGTACTTGTGCCACCACCACCCTGACCTTAGACTCGGTTTCATATAAATTTACAAGAACTTAGAAACCAATGAAGGCTTTGTTTACACAAGCAAGTATGGGGAAAAAAAATGTCCAATTCAGAAAAATAGTTATTTTGAGAAGAACATATAATGTGTCAGTTCCAAGTAAATTTTGTTTTAGAATTTTTGGTTGAACAATAGATGGATCAAATTGATTGTGACTTTATAGCAGCTTTAATTATGGAGGAAATGTGATCTAAAAGATAAGAACCAATGTGCTTTGATGGGAAAAAGAACCAAGACCATATCCCCAAACAAGATCTCTTTATACACACCGCAAAGATAAACAGGATCTTTTAACATGAAGTTTCACACTCAATTCTGAAAGCTATAGTTATTATTTCTCATGACCATGCTCTCATTAAGTTGCATTATCCAATTCAAAAATAGTTTATCCAGTATCTACTATTAAACTAAAACTGCAATAAATCTATAAGATTTTTTTCTTTTTTTAAAAGAGAGCCTTTTTTTGCTACAGGGCACATGCGCTTGCTGGAGCCACAGAGAGAGACAGAAAGTAAGAAATCATGCCCCGGGGGAGGGGGATGTGGTCATGCCACAATCCCTTCTCCATTCTCCTCTCAGGATTTTGGACATGCATGCACACGTGCCCGGTGTTGAGTTTTAAGCCACCACATTTGGGATTCAAACTGCGGTCAACTACATGGGAGTCGAGCAATGTAATCATTAGGTCATTTTCTGATCCCAACCGATAGTATTTTAAGAGAAGATATCACCAGGGCAACTTCAATAGAATAAAAATTTAGTGAAATAAGAGTCATTGGAACTGGACTTTCAAAGTAGCCAACCATAGAAATTCAGGAGGATTACTTATATGCAAAGAATCTGCAGGACTCACATGTTGGTATTGGCAGTTGAAGTCAGCCATTCTCCAGCTAAGCCAATGATATCCAATCCAGTGGAGAGCTGGTTGAAAAATCGAGGATGACCTAGAAAGGTAACAGGCAAGCATCAAGGCAAAGTCAAAACTTTTCAGCTCTCTTGAAAGCAAAAGGCCTAGAGACCAGCACATAGCGGAATGGTTACGTCAGTCACTAGACTCCCACGTAGTTGACCACAGTTTGAGTCCTGGACCCAGTGGCTTAAAGCTCACACCTGGCATGTGTGCATGCATTCCTGAAAGTCCTAAGAGGAGAATGGAGGAAAAAGGATTGTCGCATGGACATTCCTCCCTGGAGAGTGATTTCTCACTTTCAGTCTCTCTGTCTCTGTCTTTCCAGCTAGTGTATGTGCTCTATAGCAAAAATCTCTCTCAAAAAAAAAAATAAATAAAAATAAATAAATAAATAAAAAGAAAAAAGAAGAAAAAAAGAAAGCAAAAGATCTGGTCTACTGGGCCATATTGATGAAGGCTCCATCCCAATGGTCTAACAGGGCTGCCCAAGATATTGGAGAAGGAAGGGCAGGTCATCCACCCAATACCAACCTTTTGCATTAATAATGACCTCCTAATTTCTATATTTCTAAAGCATCATGCTCTTAAATTAAAAAGGGAGGGCGAGGAACCAGCAGATAATGTAGTCATTATGTCACTGGACTCCCACATGGTCGAGTGCAGTCAAGTTCCAGACCTAGTCAAGTCCCTTGAAACTCATGCTGGGCACATTTGTGTGCATGCCCAAAATTCCAAGAGGAGAATGAAGAAGGGATTGTGGCATGGCTATCCTCCCTAGGGGCAGATTTCTCACTTTCTGTCTCTTTGTCTCTCTAATGAGTGCACATGCCCTATAGCAAAAATCTCTTTATCCTAAAAAAAAAAAAAAAAATTAAAGAAAGGTCCAATACCATGAAACTAATCATGCTTTCCAATATCTTATTTGTTGATGTCTAGATTAATTCTTCTGTCGCATTTACTTTTTATAGAATTACTTTACTTAACCTTATTATTATTATTTAATATTTCTAGAGAGAGATACAGAGAGAGAAAGAGAGAAAAAGTGAGAAAGCAAGACTCCAGGTCTAGGACTTGTACCATGGTCAGCCATGTGGAAGTCCAGTGCCCTTAACCACCTGCCAGCCCCAACATATTTACTTTTTTTAATTTCAAAAGAGGATGTGGTAGTCCTGATTTTCTCCATAACTATTTCGACTTGATAAAATTTATTAATTGTATTGTATTTATTATTATTATTTATTTTTAAGTTTGCTATAGGGGACATGTCCAGAGACAGAGACGCAGAGAAAGTCAGTCGCCAGGTCTGGGCCTTGAACTACAGTCAGCCACGTGGGAGTTCAACACCTTAACCACCATGCCATTTGCTGGGCCCTACTGTTTTGACTTTTAATTTAACATTCTAAGGACTTTAAAACCTGGGACAGGGGGTGCTAGTGGAAGAGAGACTCCAGGTTCTTTGCTCTTAGTTAGGGAAGGTGCCAGCTCTGAGGCTGATGCCATGAGGGCATTCTATCACCCTCTGGATCTCTGTGACAAACATGATGCCAGACTCTGGGGTGTTCTGTTCATATACAGTTGCCCTAAATGTACTGCTGCGATAACCTAGCATCTTCTGTGAAACAGACTCAGCCTTATTCACTCATTGAGTTGTTGGTGAAATAACAGCTATTACCACATAACTCTAAAGCGCTGTGAAACCCACAGAACACCTTAACAGGCTTTGTTCTCAGTACATTCGGGATTGTTGCCAACTTTTCACCAACTTGGCATTCACCAGAAAACTCAACTCCACATCAGCAGGCTTGGCTCTGCTGTCACTGTGGAGTCAACACAATAGATTATCTAGGAAGGTGTGACAGAGAACTGGTGTTAGGAAGATATGCTGACTACTGTGTTTCCAGTGGAAATTGCCTTTGCCTCTGAAATAGCTGTCAGGGCGCTGGTGTTGGAATGTTCCTGGCCTAACTCTCCTCTCTGGGGATGTCTCTCCTTCCCTAGGTGTGAGGAGGGCTCATTCAGAACAGCTGGACTATGACTTCTTATATAAGAGACGATTCTCGCCTCTTAAAAGACTTTCAAAATTAACACCAATTTTAAGAAAAAAGAAACATACAGTAAATAGTATATGTATGGGGCCAGATTCCAGACATTCATGCAGAATATCAATAATTTCAACTCTTCCATTTTACTCTACTTTGCTCGGTACCTTCAGAAAATATCTCCTGCTATGTAATGGATTTTGTTGAAATCCACTAAAATACAGATGCAATACCAATTAAAAAATTTAATGAAACATTTCAAGACTGGACTGAATCGCAAATATATGTGATCATACGATTCGATGATGTATCAGCAACACACAGCATGGCAGAGACAAAACAGAGACAAAACAGAGAGACTGACACAAAGTGAAATAGTACCTCTTTGTCCATGAACATAAAAGGCTACAAAGTCCCACAAAACCGTACTTTTAGTTTATGACTACAGTCTCATGTCAAAACGTCTATCAAGTGACAAAATAACCTAGAGAAATAACCTGATGAAGTAACAGGCATAAAGATGGTGCTGAGAAGCCCATGATCTAAACTCAGGTAGAAGAAAGTTATCTCCAAAGTAAAGATTTTCAACAAACTACAAGAAAAAAAAAGAGAGAGAGAGAGGTGAAGGGGGAAAATCTGTTGATCAGGAGCCATATCAACCAATTGTAATATAAGGGATTTATTTGGATCCTGATTCAAATGAATTATAACAAAATAAACCAAAACACTTATTCATTAGACAATTGGGAGTTTGAAGACTGAATATTTTACGATATTAACGAACGGTAAATTTTTTTTTCACTAGGGAATATATGCTCACTGGAGAGAGACAGAGAGAGAAAAAGCAAGACAGCGCTCATTGGGCACAGTCATCCTGCAACCCTTTCTCTGCCATGTCTCCCTTTCAGGAGTTTGGGAATGCACACAGATGCATCCAGTGTATCTTTCAACCTGCTGGATCCAGAACTGTAACTACGCAGTTTGGCCTATGGGATCCAGCTGCCTTAACCACAGGGCTACGGGTTGGCCTTGGGTTTTGTTGTTGTTGTTGCCTTTTTTTTTTCTTTTTTTCTTTTTTTAGGATTTATAATGACATTGTAGTTATGTTTTAAAAAGAGTTCTTGAGGATGAAGAATATTTATAAATGCAATAATATGTTGGAGACTTGCTTCCATGTGATATAGGAGAAAATGGGTATGGGGGAAACAAAATTGGCAGGTGTTAATAGTTAAGGCTGGGTGGGACCGGCAGGTAATGTGGTGGTTAGAGTGCTGGATTCCCACATGGCCAACCATAGTTTGAGTCCTGGACCTGGAGGCTTGCTTTCTTGCTTTCCCTTTCTCTCTCTTTCTGCCTCTCTCTGGTCAAAATTAAAAAAAAAAAATGATAATAACAACAAATGGAATTAAATAAATTAATAAATATTTTTTAAAAAAGAATTTCAAGGAGTCCTTGTACATGAAAAACAAATTTTAAAAAATATTTAAGGCTGGGTACCGGGTATATAGAATTTATTATGCAATCCTTATTTGGGGTAAGTTTAAAATTTTCCATAACAAAAAGTTTAAAAGATCACTTAAGTAGCTATTGTGACTGAGAATTGAATAACATCTGTCAGTTTGTGAAGAACTATATATGCCAGTTCTCTTTGTTTGTTTGTTTGTTTGCTTTTTAAGACACAGGGTCTTGGGACCAGCAGATGGTATAATGGTTACATAGCTGGACTTCCACATGGTCAAATGTGGTTTGAGTCTCGGACCTGCATACTTGAACCTCATGCTGGGTGCATGTGTGTGTGTGCCCAAAATCCCAAGAGGAGAATGGAGGAGAAGAGATTGTGGCATGGCCTTCTCTCTACCCCCTAGGATAATTTCTTGCTTTCTGTCTCTGTCTTGCTCTGTCTGTCTAGTGAGCGCATAGACCCTATAGCAAAAATCTCCTCCCCTCCCACACACACACAAAAGACACAGGGTCTTCCTGGAGCCAGCAGGCAGTGCTGTGTTTAAGGTGCTGGACTCCCATATGGTTGACCATGGTTCAAGTTTTGGATCTGACAGCTTGAAAATTACACAGGGTGCTTCTGTGCCCAAAATCCTGAGAGAAGAATGGAGGGGAAGGGATTGTGGCATGGCCATCCCCCTGGGAGGTGATTTCCCACTTTCCCTCTCTCTATCTCTCGCCAACAAGTACACATACCTTATGGAAAAAAACTTAAAAAAAGAAAGTCTGCTATGTTGCAGGCTGTTCTTGAACACGTAATGCTCCTGCCTCAGCCTCCGAAGTAGCAGGGATTATCGGCATGCACTTCCATACACAGCCATTCCTTCATTAAAGGTCTTTTGCTCACTTGTCAAGAAATTTCCGATTGTCATCATAATCCCTTCACAGACTACACCCACATCAGTATGCTTTTACTATGAAAACTCAATTCAAGGAACCAGCGATGGTGCAATGGTTATGTTGCTGGACTCCCATGTAGTTGACAGTTGAGTCCCAGGCCCGGTGGCTTGAAACTTACACTGGGTGCATGTGTGTGTGCCCAAAATCCCGAGAAGAGAATGGAGGAGGAGGGACTGCAGCATGGTCATTTCTCCTGTGGGGTGATTGTTGTTTTCTGTCTGTCTC